TTTATGTGCTGACTGTCTGTTCAATGTTTTCATTCAGTTTGGTGTCAGGAAGGGTCTCTTTAATTGGGAATGACTCAATTTGACGACAGCAGCACATATCTTAAGTATTTACTTCAGGGAGCAAAACTAATTTCACTGAGAAGGGAGGAAGCAACATTGTTTGTAGTGAAAGGAGGAAGTAAAATATCTGGGTCTGTAAAAGCCTCTGATGTATAATTGATAAGGCCTGGTGTCCACAAGCTAACATGTCAAAACAAATCAAACGTAGTAAAGTACCTTTTTTGGTTATAAAAACTAAATCCAGCATACTTAATCTTGTGTCCCACATCACACCCTGCGTCTCTCAGTTGACCCGTCCAAACATTTTGCTGCATGGGAAAGTTTTACTTTTCCAGATCCCAAAGCGTCTTACAGTATGAATTCCATTAGCCAATTAATTTCCCTCGAGTGTCCACCCAATGCTTCAGTCTGTACACGTCCTATCTATTCGAACTGTGTTTGAAGTCTTGATTTTTCATTTATTTTATAAAGTAAATATTTCTTTTTGGGACATTTTAAGTTTAAATATGCAAATTAGGCATTTTTCTCATTTAATATGTGCTCATTTGCATACATTTCTTCAACAGCAATGTGAGCATTGGTTAAAGCAAGGTTAACAAGTTTGAGTCAAATCTTTATTTTAGTTAAATCCATTTATCTGAAAAGAACTTCAACAGCCATACAAAACATTTTATGAATAAAATATTCCATACATGTAAATCAGACCATGAGTGATTTATGAACTAACTTGTAAGTTTAGTTTGTAGGTACTAGTGAATTTGAGTTGTCAGGCTCAGGGTGTGAGTAAAAAAAAACATACATTAAATTGGCATACATTCTGCAGACACTACAGGGGGAAATGTCCCAAGTTTATTACTGTATTATCATAAAGGTTGAATCCTTTTTGTATGACAATCTTTCAAAAAAGAAATATTTAAATATGCAAAAGAGTCTTTATCTAATGCTCACTTTGCTGAATTTAGGAGAAATGTACAGACACAAATAGATGCCATTACGCACCTAAATTGACAAATGCATGAAAAATGCGATATTCCTGCATTAATTCAAGTATGACAGTTTATGTGTTTTACCTCATGTGTTTAGATAAAAGTTCCCCAAGTACAGCATTCCTTTTTGCTGTAGAAAAGCGATTATGTTTGGTGTACACGGTTTTTAATCAATGAGCTGAAACATGTGAAACCTGTAGTACGCCCAGTTAGGTTTAAAATGAGCCTTTCTTAGAAAGAGCAGAAGTTTCTCCTCCAGTGATATCCTCAGCGTTCCTGTGGGAAAACACGTCCTATCAATTTCCCCCATCGGCGGTCCCTCCTCGCTACTTTAGCTCCCAACACGAGGAGATACTGTAAGAGAGAAATCTGATTTGTCCCTGAATTAAATTAGCGCTAAATTAAAAGGAACACAAACCTCTCCTGTATCTTGTGTTGATCCACCTTAAGGTCACGTACTGTAACAGATCAGATGGAAGGATAAATAAAGGCAGTACAGCACAAATGGTGTAGAAAGTGAAAATGTAAAAGGCATGACTTTGGACAGCAACAACCGGAGTACCTGAATACTATAATTATAGTCTGATTGATTAATTAGATGACAATGCTTATTTCTAGGTATAATTAGCTTCTGCATTTAAATAGACTCATAACATGAAACGTAAACAGAGACAGAAACTGAATGCAGCTCTGACACAAAAAAATAAATGGTTCTCATTAAAAAATATACATGGATCAACCGAGATTGAAGTGTCTACCTTGAAATTGAGTTATTATTTGTATGTATGTTTCTGAATTATCTGTTTATGATAGCAAAAGGCAGTATATTTACATTTAAAAATATTACACGGAAGACTGTTGACAACACACAGCCAGAAGAAGAGGAAATACACACAGATGGCTGTGTAAACTTACAAAAGCGCAATAAACACAGTTTCAAAAAACTCATCCAGAATTCCTCCTGTCAGTTAAATCCCCCTTTTTCTCTCTCAAAAGAACAACAAAATACATTTAAATCTGATCTAGCAGTCCAAATGTCCTCCTTTCTCATGATTGTTTCCCTAAGCGTGTCATTTTTGATGTGTGTTTGGATCTCCTTATTCAATTTGTCAGACTGGAAGTCAGCCACACTCACTGATGGAGTTATTTTTCTGAGCGCTGCTTCTCAACGACCCAAACAGGGTTATAGTGAGAGACCTTAAGCTTGTGGATTGAAGAAGTCAGTGTTTAAAAGTGAATGGCAGATAAAGTACAGAAGACTTGTGTTGATCCAGCCACTAACCAACACCTGATGCCGTATGTTTTGTGAACAAATATTTTGTAAACGGTCTCAGTCAAGGCAGTGTTAGACGATACATTGCATTCATTGCTACTGATTCACCAAAAAATAGATTTAAGCTCTAAAAAGTTGATAGTATTTAACACTTAATATGAACTTTTATGCATATCTAAAAACACTAGAAAAACACAATGAAGAGCGTATGACAAAAACTGTAATTTATGAAAATAAAGGTATTGCTGGCAACGTCAGTTTGATGGGGGTTATATTCTGTTGTTAACTTGATCCCAGTGTGTAAGTGGCAGACTCAATAAATGCGCCATATACAGTAGCTCAATCGGTAGAGATAAAGGCCCCATTGGTACACAATCCAGCTAGGGACTATTTGCTGCATGACATTCCCTCTGTTTCCCCGTTTCAAATCTGCAATAAAAGGCACTGGTTGCCCAAAAAAATCTTTGAAAACAGTAGAGAGATTATTACATAATGGCAATAAATGGCTATTTCTGGAAATAAATCACCAAAAATGGGGTTTAATGTGTCTCTACTTCCATTGTCCATGGTACTTATCGTGTCAGAATAGAAACAGAAACAGATTTGAAGATTCCCATGAGAGAAGTTCACATAATTCACAAGTCGTTTCTCCTTTCTCTCCTTCTGATGAGGCAGGAGGCTTTTCCTACAAGATTGTATTTTTATCATAATTGACGGCAGCCTCACAAAACGTTTCACTGCCCTCAAACTAAAGATAATGGTGGAAAATGACCAAAGTTCACATGTATTGCAAGAGAAATCTCTTTATTTTTTCCACTAAATCTGGACGGACAGATTAGAGGTGACACATGAGGGAAAGCTCTGGTGGGAATAACCACTGAAATATCTCTGGACAAAACGTCTACGGTTTCTTCATGAAATTGATGTTATAAGATTGATGATTTAACATGTGGGAAAATTCCAATACTCTTTTCCCTCATATTTTTTACTCTGGGAATGTCCTGTAATGCAGGAAAAAAAGCCTTTTAGCTTTTAAATGCCACACTGCCTGTGGTTAAGGTCTGCTGGCATGAACGTCAGAGGGAAGATATGTGCAATGTTTGGGACTCCAATGTTAAACCTGAACCTGTTTAAGTATTAATGTCCTCTGAAGTCCAGTCAAGTGTCCTGTCCTGTAATGAAACAATTAATTGATGGTGAATTATAAACAACATTTTAAAACGGTATTTAAGCAGGGTTTTTCCACTCGTAAAAAACTATTTAAAAAATACACTGTTTCCCATAAAGTTGGAATCATTTTGTTTTCAGACACATTCCTCTTTTAACTGTGGTTTACTTTTCACTGTGATGTTTGGAAGAGATTGATCAATAGTTTTGAGAAGATATAAACTTTATCTATCAATAATAAATCACATTGACACAATCATTTCATGAGGAGAGGTCAAATATATTTATTCCAACATTATGGGCAACAGTGTATTTAGCAGGAGGGTACATTTGGGGATTACCTCAATACAATGTGACAAACTCATAAACATATAATCATCCTTAGGGCAGTAAGGACAGATGTTGCTGTCAGACGTTTGTTGTTGACTTAAATTCATCGCCTAGAGTAATGTCAGGATCTCTGGATACAAATCTGCAGGATGATGGTAATGACCCGAAATGTAAAAACCTCAAGGCGTACTGACTGTTCATCCTTAAAAATGTTTCATCTGTTATTTTTTAGATTCATGTCAAATAAAGAACGAGCGGTGGTCTTCTGACCTTGTTGTCACTGATAAACTTTTATACTGTGCGTGTCTTGACAGGAAACTGAAGAGCTGAAATTAGGGACTGTCTCAACAGGGCATGCTATTGGGCAAAGTGAGTTTATATTATTTTGAAATGTGTTGAATCAGACAGGCATCCTTTAGACTGTAAACACACCCACCCTACAGCAAGTGTGTGTGTGTGTGTGTGTGTGTGTGTGTGTGTGTGTGTGTGTGTGTGTGTGTGTGTGTGTGTGTGTGTGTGTGTGTGTGTGTGTGTGTGTGTGTGTGTCTCAAATTGTCTGATAAGAACTAATCTTGGGAATTTACCAGATGGAATATACCCAGACTTCCGTTCAGGTCTGTCTGTGTGTGTCTGCTAGTAATACACTGCTTATGAGGTCCTTCTGTGTTAAGAACAGATTATGCTCCTACTTCATAAGGGACTTTTTGCCCCTTCTGGTAAGTTAAGGGTTTCTATTTGTACTGGGATTTAGTCGATTTGATTAAAGTAATTCAAGGTATAACCACTCTCCAAATCTTTCTGCTGTAGGTGTGATGACGACGCCTCGGGGGGCAAGGTGCAATATTGAAATGTAATAATGTCCTTTTGCCAATTTTGTATCATTATTGTCCTCTTTGTGTTTTAGAAATAGCTTTTTTATTTTTTTCTGTCTCCCTCCTATTCCTCCTCTTCCTCTTCTTCATCCTTCCTCCGCAAGGACTGCCCACTTTGAGAAGAATGCCAACAGAAGTTCCCGTTCTACTCATTTCCCATGCCTCCTTTCTCTTCCATTCCCACTGGCTTATTTCTACCAGCACAGCTATGATTCAACAGTCTCTGGCTTAAACTTAACCCTAACCCCTTTTTCTATATCAATCAGATCTTTTTAATCAATATTATTTAAAAAGTCTCTGTCTCTTTTTCAGATTGTCCTTTCTGCCAAACCGGAGCTACAGTGACAATGGGCGAACGATACTGGCCAACGAGCAGTCCCAGGACTCTGTTGGGACTCTATGAGTAAAAGAGCAGCCAACTACGACCTGTTTATAAGGAGGTGGTCTCACATGGATATGAACTCTAGGATCAGCATCCTCATATGACTTTTTTTTTTTAAACATGTTGATGCTGTCCGGGACTAGAGGCGCTATTACTGGTCATCAGAAAAGTGCAGATTTGACTTTTGGTGAAATATTGGAGCATTTTGGTGCCAGAACAAAAAGGAACAGTTGAATGTGTCCATGGAACAAAACACACTGCCAATGTGTTCCCCGGTCCTCTATCGAAAACCTAAAAGAACTGTTGAAATTCTGCGATTGGCAAGATGAAGGCAGAGGTCCAGAAAAACTGCAGCAGACTACAAGCAAAGCTCTGGCTAACACAACTGCTTTTTAACCTCTATGATAATGCTCATACAGGTGTCTTTAGGTATCTTTAGATTACAGTTTATTGTACAGCAGTTTGTATTATTGTATTTTACCAGCACCGACGGCACTCAGAAACTGCTGAATGTAATGTCAAACGTTTTTATTTATATTCTTCGTTTCATATCCCATGCTGAAGTAGCATAGAATCAATGACGTCCCAGTAGTTTGTGATGAAATAAAGCATGTATCAAAATGGTTGTATCATCGTTGACCCTTGTGGCGAAACACTGATCTGATCATTTCAAGGCATTTAAATTATTGTTGCACTTTCCTCTGTAGGTTGAAAGTCTTAAATGTGTTGCATCTCTGTCCGAGATCAGTCAAATGTTGGTTTGTTACATCACTGCAGCGGGTTGGAAAGCTTGGTTGCCAGTATTAAATCTCTCCTCCTGCATGAAGCTAAATTGACAAGTTTGTTAAGTTATTGAATTATTAAGACTTGGTATTACAGCACTGAAAAAACATACAAGAAATACAACCGAACATTAAAACAATTGTGGATTTTAAGAAAACAGTCATTTCATTTTGAAAAGTTGCTGAATCTGGCTCAAGCCAAGGTGAATATAAAAGACTGGTGTCAATGGAGTAAAGAATCTAGGGCTAACTGGGTTTTAAAGCTGAATTAAGTTGTATTTGACCACTAGGGGGTCAGTATTCACTCTCCTGAGCTCTGATCTGGCGCTGTTTTGTCCAAGGTAAGGAAAAAACAAAAACAATGAATAAAAAGTGTCCAAAAGCACTAAATACAGACAAAGTTTTCTAATTATGTACAGATTTATAGACAAAGATACTTAGACCTGCAGTGTTGGGAGATACTCTTTTAGTTTTGGCAGCACTGGTGACCTGTTAAACTTACTCAGAGCCATTTACTCAAAGGTATTTCAAAATGCCTTTGTAACACAGCTTTCCTCTGATGTTTGAAGCTCAGTTTACATATCTGAACCGGTCTGGCTCCCTCTGGCTGTCTATCACAACACGTTCATGAGATCGACACACAGAGGTGTGATACTGCAGCAGCCTACACTCTCACATTTTAATTTCAATTTCTCAATGCATCTCTGCCTCAGAAAACAACAGTAAACTCACCATCTTTCCTTTTATTTTTAATGCACAACCTCCAGGCTTCAGAGATGTGAACGGTGTCTTGTTACAATGTGACAACTTTTAATAGTCCACTGTGCCCTGTACTTCATCTTTGTTCCATGCAATGGAGATGATGAATAAACAGAGAATTTGACAATAATTGGGTGTTAATTGATTCATGTCGGGTCTATAAAATGTGGCTTATGCTAATTTCTCCAGATTTCAACACTTGAGTCTGTAGTATATTTATTTCTCATTGAACTGTACACGATATTATCATATTGTTATCTCACAAAGACGAATCTGCTTACATTACACATCCAGCAGCAACATTCACACACACACAAACAAAAGTATAGTAGATATCAGTTGTATTTTACCCGTAAACAGCAGAGCTCTACAGCATTCTGGAATTTCATGGTGTTTAAAGTGACCCAACATTTTTTTGAAAGCAACCTTTCGGAGAACAGCATCGCTCTTCAAGTGTAACATATTTATTTACTTAAAACAAATACACATAAATATATGAACATTTAAAAAAGAAAAAATCATGACCGACATAATTTATTTTGGAGGGGCCAAATCTCTATTTTTAGAACCACTGCCTAGCACCAGTCAGACTTGATGAATGAATACCCATGTCTCGTCAACTGAACCCAATACACTTTCCCAAATGTAGGCAGTTAGATAACTATGTTGGTCTTTTCACACTGTTGTTGACAATTAACACATCATAGCTTGAGCTCTGTATTTAATAAGATAACATGAGCATCAAGCAAAAACTAATATATTCTGTGTGGGCCTAAAACATCATTTTTAACAAGCCTGTATTACTGTTGGCGGCCATTACAAACAAAGCACCTCGTCAGGAAGCCTATTTAGTTGCAGCAAACGCGATTATCCCCAATCATCTCTACGCCGCTCAAAAACAATCTCCGAACTGATTTTCAGGATTGATTGGTGCTGACGCCTGAGTCTGCTGCCCATTAAGCCCAGGGAGAATCCACAGGAGGAATTCATTATTCTGTAATCACTGAATCCAACACAATCTCCCTGGGTTTACTGTCTAAAAGCATAACGATCTCGTAGTGCAGAAGTCGAGTGCTTGACCTGGGCTTTCTAAAAACGTCCTGGCTCTGAGATTATTTGGATGTTAACACAGGAACAGACGTTTATTTTTAACCGCATGAGACACATTGCCAATATTTCATCCTTCTATGGGCAGCTGCATGTTAGTTTTTCCTGTCTAAATACAGTCTTTAATCCATTAAAGAGAGTCTCCAAGGTCAATTATTTATAATGTCCTTCCAGTTGAAGGTAAGCCAGCCTTAACAAACCCTAATCAGGCCAGGTTCAGGATGGTTCCCATAGAAAAAGCTAAGGAAGGTGTTTCTCCTGAAAAACAGATTGCTTCTCCAAGTGTGTGTGTAATGCTCAGCTCTAAAATCCTACCTGCTTGTCTCCTCACTACCACTAGATGTAGCAACAACACTAGCAACTAAAATTACCGTTTGCTCTACACTCCTCTTTCAGCAGCAGGCTTTTGTCAAAGTATTCAGATGACATGTCTAATAGGAAAAGAAGAGGTGTAAACATACCATTTAGCTGCTTTAGTTTAGGGGTACCGTGTGTGGCTCACTGTCACAGTCATGGATCACTGGGACTCTTAAGAACAAAGCAGTCGTTAGTGTTATCAGTGTCTGGGCTTGTCTTACAATTTGACCAAACATGCTGTCTGCTGTTTGAAAGGCCTAATTAACAACTATAGAAGTGTTACACACTGTGCTACTACATAACATTTATTGTAATGCTTTTTTAGTTTTATTGCTGGTTTTTTTGCTATGGATTATTTTCCCCTGAAAAGTAAATGTCAAATGTTTTCAAAACGTGCAAAGTAATGCATTTAAATTGGCCCTATTTGTCAATGGCAAACCTTGTAGTATTTGTCATATTTTACTATATGCCTGTCATATTTTATTATATTTGATTGTACTCAGTTTCTCACCTGATTATATTTTGTATATATATTGTTAATTTGTTATAATAGTCAAAAAATAGTTTTTTTAAATAGCTGTCATATTTTTATTTCATTTTGTTTTGCCAAGTATTCTTCTTTCTGTGTCTTTGTATGCACCATACTGTACTGTATAGCAAATTCCTCCTATGTGTAAACCTACTTGGTTATAAAACCGATTCTGATTGGTTCAGTCCTCAGCTGGTTTCAGGTCTACTTAAATGTACTTGACACAGGTGCAATCAATGAGCAATCAATGCAGCTGAGCAGAAATGGGAACAGCTGCTGCTGCTCGTCAAGCTGCAATAGCGGAAAAAAAGAAAGACAAATAAGTCCTGATATAATAATAAGACTTCATTTATCGATGAAACAAAAAAACCTTGTGTTGGCTCAGAGGTTAATATTTAGCTGGTTTACAGTTACGTTTTAACTTAAACATTACTTTGAGTCATCATGGAAAGAAGTTGTGTAATCACTGCTCCTCTTCGCGGAACACTGCACATCCTTTGGGAACTCATCACTAAATTCAAACTTATTTCAAACCACTTTCTACTGTAAATGTTAAACAGCTTGTAAATCTGAGGGTAAGAAGACTTTTTACAATGAGATACCTTTTTTTTGCTAAGCTTACTCAGGCCTCCAAACTCTCTCCTTAACTTTCTAAGAGGAAATTAAAATAAGCAACAACAGGCAGTTTGTGTGCGTGACTTTTCTTGTGTTACAACTAATCTTCACAAAGCATTTACTATCCTTGAGAGACACGTTACCAAAGGGGTTAATAATAAGTGAAATAAATAAACTATTGTGCTCAGTGTTTGCTGTTTTCTTGTAAACCTTAGGAATTTGTTGGGAAGAAGAGAAGGTTAAGTGGTGTTATTGTCACAGGGTTATCAGGAAGTAACGTCCTATCTGTGTTCGGAGAAGGTCTGCCAAATTCACCTTTAAAGATTTCACACCTGATACTTATCCATATCCATATAAATCTCATCACTGGTTAATTTAAATCCCATTAATTCTCTGTCTAGCTAATTTTCGCTGCCAAATCCAGGGAAATGTCTTTCTCTTTAGGTGTTAAATGCTCCACTCGACTCACTAACTGTCGCCCAATGCGATGACTGCACGTTTGCATAGAGGGTTCACTATAGTGCCAACCCAAAATATTCAGCAGGAAGTAGTAATCCAACCCTCCAACAGCGAGGCAATATTGATAACTGATGATTTGCACACATGTAAGTTCTGTGCGACTTTACCTGCACAAACATTTGGTTGATCATTAAGATAGACATTTCATATTTTCATACAGACCATAACTAGTTGAAGGTTAGATTGTACTGTATCTATGATAAAACACACCCTTTATTCTAGAAAATTGTTAATTTGATGGTGAATTGTTGTATAAACCAAGCCAGTAATAAAAGTTAAAAGTTAAAAACAGGAAGAAGCTTACAAAAAAATAGGAAAAATGCCACCTTGAAAACAAAGCAGCTTGCAAACGATGCTGATACTAAAATCATGGCAACCAAAAGTTACGACACTTCCTGTTTTCGGTGAATTGAGGGAATTCTTTTCTGATGCTTGCTCCTGTATTCAAACACTACACCTTAAAGAATGGTGGTTCATTCAGCTACGAGTGTGACTACAAACTATGTTCACCCCGTCATGGAGCTCAATATTATTGTAATTTCATGATATTTCTTGATCATTATAATGATAAAGACTATCACCAGAATAACTCTTTAAAGAATTTGAGATAGTAAAGTGTCATGTGACTCTGGTTATCCTGCTGATATGGTGCATAACAATATAAATGCATGGCAGAAATTGTATTTTTAAGACATTTTAAAGGTACCATCAACTAAGGCATTGGGAATCCAAATACACACACACACACAGCAGGAGTTTAGTCACCATGGTAACCACCCCTCTTCCCTCCCTCCATCTATTCTCCTCCCTCCCCTCCCCCTCTGCTCGGCTGCAATCCGCAGCTGAGACGGGGGGTTTGCTGCTCCCATCATGCTTTGCAAAAGGAAACAGGAAGCAGACAGTGAGCAGCAGAGTGCACGGCGATGTAGAAGAAAACAGACTGATGGTGGAGGCAGAGGCACCACTCAGGGAGGGATGGCTGATGTTGCCCCCTGTTTGCTCCTCTGCTCCTCTCTGGGTGAGTCTTTATTGAACAGAAAATCAAATATAAAAGCTCCACAAATCCAGCTAGACTGGGGATAAAGCATGTACAGTAAAGCTAACATGCAGTCAGATGATGCTGCCGGTTGATTTAAAGAGGCAGTGCCGTAATCCCCTCAAACTGTGAGGGGTCAACTAAGGTGACAAGACGTGCGGAAACTCCTAACATGATCCGGTTGTTTGGTTTTGTCCCCGTTTTGTATGTTGGAAGTAATATTCCAGTCTTGCTGTGCATGGATATGGTCATGGGAACACCACACACCAAAAAGCAGCCCTTCTCTCTGGTGATATTTCTGTACTGTTACATATGTAATTCAAATCTTAACCGTGACTAACTGTGTAAGAAGAAGTCTACCATGTGTTCACCCTGACAATGATGCCATTGAGTCCAGAATATAATAGACACACTCACACACTTGCACTCTCACACACAGACTCACATGTGTCTCAGTGACAGTGGATGTAGTTCTGATTATAGAGACAATAGATACATTTACAGCATTAAGGATGAACCATATACCCCCTATCATTGTGTTTTGGTAAGCTTTTAACCAAAAAGTAATCACTACTGAGTTAGCAGCAGCGATCTCAGCCATTGAACTCCATGTGTCCATGTATCCTTTATTCCAAATGATACAGAATTTCCCGTAATGGTCAAGTAATTGTGTGCAAATGCAAGAAATGTAACTCTGGTTTTGAGTAACTCTCAAACTACTTCCACAGAAAAGAATCAATGAAACTAAACAAGTATAACAGGAATATTATATATATATAGTATGTTTAATCATAAACTGGAATTAAATGTGTTTCAAAGACGTGATATTTAGCTCAATAACAAAAGGGGTTTTACGTTTAGCCCTCGTTGGTTGATAGTGAGAATATCAAACAACTTTCTAAATGATTAAACATTAGGTGTTTTTTATGTTTTATTAATTACAGTACATGTTCTCTTTAGAAAAGACCAGATACTAAATGGTATTTGTATTAGTGCACAGCTAAAGCGTTACATGTAGTTCAGAATAATTCAATGACAGTGTTTTGATTAAACCTGGAAGGTACAAATCATTGGTAGTCACATTGTTTAACACACTAATGCCCAATCTGTGTGTATTTACTAGGGGGTGTACATTTAGGTTTTTTCTGGCACAGTTCACACAGATAACAGGGTCACTTCTTTGGCTAGTGCACCTCAGGCACAGTTTATCTTCTGTTTGCTGTGTAATCAACTCTGTCCACAGGATGTGTTTAAACAGTATAACAAACTAAACTCATTTTCACTTTGACTATGCCTATTTGCCCAGGCTTACTGCAGGGGCACATAAAGCAATGATCGAGTAAAAAATTGACTGGATTAAACATCTAACCCTCCTCTACACAAACACACAAATGCTTTCTATTGGTTCAAGAGTGGACAAGCCCAACCCACTGTTGGTGACCAAGCCAATAGGGGGCCAGAGTGAGGGGGAGCAAAGGGCTGCTCTTATCTCTCCATTTATCCAGCAGATATAACCCTTCACAACTACTTCTGTCCGACATCAGAGACATATTAAGAGAGGAGGAGAGGGAGATATAATAGGAAGAAGTTGAGGCAATCAACACAGAGCTGATTTAAACACATCAGAGATTTAAGGTTTGTCTCAGTGGCAGCTACTCTACAGGTGAGTGTCTTATACTGACTGATAATGTGTGTCCAAGAAATGACAAAGCTAGTAGTTATTCCTCCTGGTGAAAATCTTAAAATATGATTTGGGTTTAATTGGAGATTATTTGTGTTCTTTTGAGCACATTTGTAATGATCTGCTGGTGAAATTATGTCTACAGCACATAGAGGATACACATGCACGTGGTTTAGTAGGTAGTTTAGATCCTTTTTAGCCAGCAGTGCTATTAACATTCTTCCATGCAGTATTTTGAGCATATCTACAATCCTTAATTATCCAAGTATTGTATTAACTACTTTTGGATGTGTACGGATTAGCAGATATTTTACAATTCTGTTGTTATGTTCCTATCAGGAGGATTTTCCATTTAAGTTTGAATGGATTTCAGTTTGTGAGAGAGAATTCTGAAAAATAAAAGAGGTTCTTTATAGAGCATTACCAAACTGCCGAGGTGTTGGTTGCCTCTTTTTCCAGCCTTCAGAGTAGCATTTTTTTATTTGTACTTTGTGTTTTCAATAGAAATCTTATTCAAGTAGTAATCACTGCTTACTTTGTGATTTGTCTTTAATGTCAAACCTATTAAAAGCTGCTAGCTTGGCAAACTCAGTTAAACTTGAAGGCTTTGTATTATAATTTGCATTTCTCCAAACCTGTTCTCTAAATCAACATCCGTCAGAGCACTGTTTGACATCGGCTCTTGTTGACCCTTTTCAAGTTGAATACTGTAGGAACTACCGGCTTCCATGGTTACGTCATATTGAATCTTTATTGTTGTGTTTCACAATTCACAAAACTAGGGACAATAGTCCTCCTGGCTTCAGTAGTTTAGCACTTTTTGAAGACTCAGCAATTAAGGCTCAGAATGACGTTCAAGGTTTTTAAAATACATGATATTTTACACAATCGTACTCTTAGATTTTTGTTATCTGAACATGGCAATAATAAATAAAAATGCATGCCAATACTGTTGTTCGTTGCAGTAGATTGAAAAGTTGATATTGCAGACCTCATATGACCGGTTGTACATTTATAAAATGTGTTCATTTGAGGAATCATGTGTATGCTTTCCTTTACAGAAAGTTGCAGTTTCTTTCGCCCCTTTGGACTTCTAACATGCCTTGATTACAAAGATTTTAACTATACATGAAAAGCACAGGGAGGAAGCTTTCAGGTCATTTACAAGCAGTGTTGGGGGGCTTTTATCACATGACTAAAGGCGACAAACATTGATTGGAAACAGTTCACAGAAACCGTTTAAATAGTATCTTTACAGCACAGTGTAGGGTTGACGCTGAAGTAAATTTGGTATCAAAAGGTCCTCAGTGTGACTCCCGTCATGCTCAGCAGTTAATCAGGCCTGTGTGTTTCTCTTCTTAAAAGAAACCTTGTTGGAGATATCTTTGGTCTTTTTTTGTTATGTTCTTTTACTTTAAGTGTACCTAAGAGCTACACAGGCTCATCATTTATCTCCCGTACCTTTTATCTTTTAAAATGTCAGTATGGATTTATGAGACCAACATTAAAACACGCTGGCCTCTTTATTTTTGATTTGAGCTTGATTTCCATGCAAAGTAAACAATCATTGTCCTTAAAACTACCTAGAAACAGTGAGTAAAAAAAACAAGAATAGACAGAAAACAGCAAGATGATTCTTAAATCTGGTGAATTTAACTGCAACACATCTGATGTACTGTAGGCACCCATGAAAAAGACGTTCCTCTATTCTTTATCCCACTGACATATCAGTCTGAGCGAGCCGTGCCACAGGAAGTCGCGGCACATACCAGTGTTGCGATGATGACTGAGGCTGATAGCCCATCATTTAGAAAGCTTCATGGTTTCCGTGACATGGTAATCTTTCTCGAGGCGCAGCTGTTACTGTAACAGCTAACCTTGTGAGACAGGCCTCCTATAATCCATCACCCACTGGTATTATACACGAGTGCCATACACATGTTGAACATTTGCTTACATTGGATGAAGTGTAAGTTACATAGGCAGTGTCAGTTGTGTTTTTTTTAAATCATTTTACCAGTTTCATGGTATAATTATCTGTAGAAACTTGCTGAAACAGGACTTCCCCTAACAGTTAAACTCTGTTACAAGTGTAGAATACATTACTGCTTTAAATCTATCTATCTAAAGCTATCATGAACAGAAAAGAAAGAAATTGGTAAGAAATAAACAGTTCTTTAAGATCTTACATCAATAAATGTTGACAGCTATGGAGCTTTCTCTCTTTGCAGCCCACTGACTCTTGTACATGTAATAGTTAATAGCAGAGCACAGTGGCCTCCTGCAGTTTCAAAATAACAAGACGAAGCGACAAGCTGTGCTCGAAAATACCTTACTGTCTGCACTTGTGCACCACTAAAATGTCACATACTTATTTGCAATTGCTGACAACATTTGCTAGTTTTTCGGATTGGAACCCATTATATACTTGAGAGATTTGAGTTGCGCATGTCAGTTATGTTGTTTGTAGAAAATGTGAGCCAATCCTGTAGAAGTTTGGATTATTCTTTGGTTAAGGTGTAAACTTTGACCTGCTGGTGACATTACAGGAAATGTCAGGGGATAATCAAAGTAATTAGGATTCATCCACTCGGCACCAACGTCAGTAGAATTCATCCTCTGGGGACCATTAATGTCTGTACCACATTTTAGGGCAATGGAGATTTGTATTTAATAAGGATCACCCAAATTGATCCCAAAGTTGACAGTGGTCAAGGCTCTCTTGCTTTCTATACATACATTTTCTTAATTTGACCATCGCTCTGACATAGTGTAATAGTCCTTGCATAACCTATACCAACCATATCAGACACAAGATTAAAAGTATTGATAACGATTGAGGAGTGCTGCGCTGGTATCAGCATAGTGAAACGTAAAAACATAAAAGCAGTTCAGGTGAAAGTGGCATAGATATGGATTAAAGCAGACAGAATACCAACACTACTTGGTTACCTAATTTTTACTTTTTACTTACTTGAATGTGCAATATGACTTGTCACTGTCACAGGCTCCTACCTATTTTCTACTGGGGCACTGTAATACGTTACTCTAAAACTTTGTATAAAACTTTGTATATTGAGCTATTGTATATTGCATACTTTTATTAAGATGTATAGTATTATCTGTATTGTAATTTTGGAGCAACCTGGCAAGAAAGAATTTCCTTTGGGATTAATAAAATTCTATCTAATCTCTAATCTAACAAATCATATACTTGCAGTATTGATGACTGAGATACACTTTTTCCTATGATTGTCTCATTGGATGTCTCAGTTACTGACTAACCTGGGCTCTGGGAAAGGGAAGTCATTAAAACCGGGTCCACTGTAAAACCGTTACCCTTACCATGAAATGTGCTGTTTCGTCATGAAATGTTTTCTGTAACTTTTTATTGATGTTTAACAGGACAGGTGTCTTTGGAAATAGTTTTAGTTGTCCATAGGGTTTGGAACATGAAAGACTTTCCCATTAAACACTTAATCAGTCATCCAGATTGACCATTCACTCAAAGGGCTGATAGAGAAGATTAAAAGATAATGAACCAACAAAAAATATGCAAGTAGCACTGCCCCTACAGGGTAAAGTTAATGTCTAGATGCCTCCGTATTCAACTATATTGTGAACAGGAAGACAAAGTATTATATCTATTGACTGAAGTAATCTCCACTGATAATCACCGTTTCCTTTTCCCTGTCTGTCCTGCATATCTTCCTCCCTTCTTTTTCCTAGATCGTGCAGGAGCACAGCTGACCCCATTATCCAATTCCCCTCCCTTTCGCCTTCTGCCCCTTCTTCCCACCCAAGACCATGGAGGAGGTCACCAAGGTCCCGCCACCCGTCCTGGAACGTCAGGTTCGCCAGCGACAGACCACAGTTTCAGTCCTCAAATCCAAGCTGAAACATGGTGTGACCTGCTCCGTACCAAAAGTTCGATCCACCCTCACCGGATTCTTCCCTGTTGTTCGCTGGCTGCCTAAATACAAGCTCAAAGAGTACGTCTTGGGCGATTTGATGTCCGGGGTCATCGTTGGAATCATCTTGGTACCACAGGCCATCGCCTACTGCTTGCTGGCAGGAGTGCCGCCCATCTATGGTTTATACACCTCTTTTTACGCCAACATCATCTACTTCCTCATGGGGACGTCTAGACATGTCTCTGTGGGGATCTTCAGCCTCATGAGCCTCATGGTTGGACAGGTAATGGATCACACAATTTAGGTCTTTAATGGAATGGTGATTAATATTTTTTCTATTTCTTAACCACCAAGGTCTTTGGTTCACTTTATCTGATTGTATCAAGAGGGTTACGGCTAAATCTTGATTTCTAATTTTCATGAATTTTGGTGGATTGATGTTGAATGGGCCAAGAAAGAGCAAATCTAAATGAATTGGCACTTCCAATACCTGTCACTGGGAAGAGGTCCCTTGAGAAATCATTGATCACATAATGCTACTGAGGAAGGTTTAATTAAGAGTTTTATTAACAAATGTCCGTTTCATTTCTTGCCTGAAGGTGGTAAATAAGGAGATGTTCCTGGCAGGATTTGACCTCAATGAAGACTCCAAAGCTTCTGGCCTGGTGTTAAATGCCTCCCTCGGCTCTAATCTGACAATTGGTTCACCTCACAGTGTGGAGCTAATGGGTGTGCCGTGTGGGAAGGAGTGTTACTCCATCTCCATCGCTGCTGCCCTAACATTCATGGTTGGCGTCTATCAGGTAATGGATGCAGGGGCAATTATTGACTTCTTGTAAATCTATGGAATGGATGGATGGTTTCTCTTTTTGTCTTTACAATGTTCGCCAATCCATCTTTTCATCATTATCTCCCTCTTTTTTCTTCTTCCTCTCCTCTTCTTGTTCTAATCTCCTCACCAGCTCCTTATGGCCGTGTTTCGGCTAGGCTTCGTCTCCGTTTACCTTTCGTCTCCCATGCTTGATGGTTTTGCTACGGGAGCCTCTTTCACCATCCTCACCGTACAGGCTAAATACCTGTTGGGCATAAAGATCCCCCGTCACCAAGGCTACGGCACAGTTGTCGTCACCTGGTTCAACATCTTTGCCAACATTCATAACACCAATCTGTGTGACCTCATCACTAGTGCAATCTGTATCTCTATATTAGGTATATTTTATACATTTCCCATCAGATTCTTAGTTATAAACTGCCTCGTGGGCTGTAATGATACTACAATACCTGGGGACATTTTTTAAAGCCTAAAAAGCTCATTCTTAATTTTCTTTAACAAAGAATAACTAATTTTTTTATTTTAGTGGCAGGAAAGGAGATCCAGGAGCGCTACAAGGATCGTCTGAAGATCCCTTTCCCGACTGAGCTGATCATAGTGGCAGGAGCTACGCTGGCTAGTCATTTTGGGGATCTGAACAGCAAATATGGCTCCAGTGTTTCAGGTCACATCCCCACAGGGTTCATTCCTCCTGAGGTGCCCAGCTTTACTCTGATGCCACGGTTGGCACTGGATGCCATTCCTCTTGCAGTCATTAGGTAATGTCCAACACATTCAACAACATGTTTGCTTCTACAGTACATGCGTCTCTTATCTGTGTTGTAACACATGCAATTTCGTAGCTGGATTATCTTCTGGCAGGGACACCTCATTTTCTATTTGCACCAAAATAACCACACAGCTATTGACATTTCCTCCACTATATTTTTTGTCCTGTGACTCTTTAATTAGCGTTTCAGTATGTCAACAATTTATTTAGTTTAAAAGAGGTTTGAGAAAGTATGCCGTAAATTCATGGTCTAAAACGGTCTTAACCTGTTAAGCCCTGAGCCTGCTTTTCAGGTTTCAGGCTCGAAAATGACATTCTCAGAACAAATGACTATATTTTCACTTCTAAAAGGGGTAAATTAATAATCTTTTTTCTGAAAGCAATTATAAACCTGTGAGTTGGATGTAGAAAAGTCAGAATCAATATAGATGTTTTTATTTTAAAGTAAATTCAGATTGAAGAAATAAAAAAAATGTAAATGATAGTTTCCGTCCAAAAAGAAAACCATTACTTATAGTGAAAACCACCCTTGAATGATGAGATAGACAAAAAGCTTTAGGAATCCAAACTATAACATATAATAAGTACCCTGTATCAAGATTGATGCAAAACAACCTTGACCTTTTTAAGAGAGGTTTAGCAAAAGAAAACCCACCTCTGGGGTCATTTGGGTGTATTTGCCATATCTCTGGAACCCATCGGTTGATTTTGATGATTGACACTAGAATCGAGAGGGAGTTCCTAAATCCATCTAAACATTACTATTGGTGAATGAGAGTGATGCACAGCCAGCATGCCCAAAACCGGAAGCTGGGTTACAGCTCTCATACACTCTATATGAAAACTCAGTTTATTGACAAAAATATGATGATGGATTATCAGTAATCATTTCAAAGTGACACAGAGACATTGGATTAACTGTCAGAAGCGTTTTAAGCGATTTAATGCCATTAAACACAACTTTTGATCAGAAAACAGCAACGGTAAGTATTTGCCGTTTTGTCCCCGTAAAGCTAAGTTGTTGTCTTTGCTTGCTTTCGCTGCCGATGAAGTATAAAATATTTCTACCGTGAGTTATGTGCTAAGTGCGTTAGCACTCTTTCGCTTAATGCTAATTCAGAGGCTCGGCGTTAGACTTGTGTTTTGTTTCGGTAAAAATGGTTCATATCGCCAGGTAGCTGAGTTTCTTCCCGTTAAGTGGGTATGACACATTCATAGTTTGTTAAATGTTAAGAAGCCCTCAGACGCTGTTTCTTGCAAGATGGTGGGGCTCCCGGGCTTAACGTGCTTATCAGGGCAACTCAATGTCAATGTATAAACAAACTTTCATTTTATCTTGTAGTTTTGCCTTCACGGTGTCACTGTCCGAGATGTTTGCTAAGAAGAACGGATATACAGTCCGTCCCAACCAGGAGATGCTGGCCATCAGCTTTTGCAACATCATCCCTTCCTTTTTCCACTGCTTCACCACTAGTGCTGCATTGGCAAAAACTATGGTGAAGGACTCAACAGGCTGCCAAACACAGGTGAATAATATACTTTGGAAAATGGTTTGTCCTTTTTGGAGTTGATGGCAAGTTCTGGCTTTCCTTGCCTGAAGAAATAGTTTCATAAAAAATCACTGAAGTTTGTCCCGAGTTGTAGAATCCCGGCAGAAGCTAAATATAGTAGTATTGTATCTGTTAATGTTAACTCTCTCTCGCTAAAACATCTCATGTTTCTGCTCCTCACTCAGATATCCAGTCTGATTAGCGCCCTGGTCGTCCTTCTTGTCCTCCTCTTCTTCGCGCCTTACTTCTACGCTCTCCAGAAGTGCGTTCTTGCCTGTATCATCATTGTTAGCCTTCGGGGGGCACTGAGGAAGTTTAAGGATGTCCCGGCAAAGTTGCGTGCGAGCCGAGATGACGGTATTGTTTGGCTGGTCGCCATGTTCGCCACGACTCTGATCAGTGTGGAGATTGGTCTTGTGGTCGGGGTAGTGTTTTCTATGATCTGCATAATCTATAAGACCCAGAACCCCAAGGTGAGTAATGGACCTGATGATAATAATTACAAACACTGGCCTTGTAATTTCATAATCTCATTTATTCTGATGTCCGGTATCAGGTCTCTCTCCTTGGCAAGGCCAGTGACGTCGATCTTTACGAAGATGTGGAAGAGTACAAGAACCTCATGCCACCACCCCGGGTTCAGATCTTTCGCTTCCAGGCTCCTCTGTATTACGCCAACAAGGACTCATTCCTGAGATCGCTCTACAAAGCTGTCGGAGTTGAACCTTTCCTGGAGCTGACCAAGAGGAGAAAGGAAGAGAAGAAGGCTAAAGAGATGTCTTCGAAGCAGATAAAGGCGAATGGAGATAAAAGCAATGGTGAAGTTGTCATTGGACTTGTCGAAAGAGAACTGGATTTCCACACGATAGTTTTAGACTGCTCCGTCATCCCGTTCATAGACTCCACAGGCATGGCCACTTTTGAAGGGCTGGTCAAGGAATATGGAGAGATAAGGGTGAACGTGCTCCTCGCAAATTGTAACACCTCAGTCATTGATCTCCTACAGAAGGGACAATTCTTTGGGAAAAATGACAAAGACATGAGCAGTCGGTTGTTTCATACAGTTCACGCTGCAGTTCTTCATGCAAAAGATTCATACGCAGCAGCAGAGAGCAGGTCTGAAGACTCTGGGGTGTAGAGAAGGTCGAAGGAGAGGCAATTTTGGTATGCTATCTTGTCCTCTAAAACAATTCTGCATTAGGTTGCTTTGAGGCAGCCTTTTACAAGTTTAGTCCAAGAAAACATGGAGGTACCAAGAAAATCCAGGCAGGGATTGCAAGACAACTGCAAACCAGGCTTTGTGGCATCCAGCACATTTTCGTTTTTTCAGTACAGGAGATGCAAATGGTACAGGGTCCAACATAGTCATAGAATAACTAGAATAACTAACAGGTTAGTTGCTATTAAGTTCCTAATTAAAAACTGGGTATGTCATTGTTATGACCTGGCTCAAAAGGCCACAACAAAGAGGAGACACACCATATCAACGGTTAGAAAAAGATGTTTATTAAAGCAAGTGATTCAAATGAGCCAAATTAATCAAGTGCAAAGCAAGTAAAGCATGAGGTGTGAACGTCAGTAGTGTCAGTAATGTAACTGCAGGGTGAGGATTGCATGAACATGTATGTGTGAGGGTGTTGAGGTGCACAAAGTAAAACAACTGAAATAACTAATAACATACTCAACCGAACCGGGTGCCTGTAGGAGAAAGCAGAGGGAAGACAGAGAGGAGCAGATGCTTTTAAATAGCTGCAGGGCACCAGACCCAGGTGCCCTGAGTTACTGCAATCAAGGCAATCAAGACCGCACAGCCACACCCTATCTAGATTAACCCACAGGGACATCACAGTCATATAACACTGTCAAGAACAGCGTTCTTTGCAATGAAAGCAGTTTTTACTTTTTATATCACTACAAGACTTTGGCTGGAGTCCAAAATGGCTCCAATCCAGAGTCAAGAGTTCAGACGTGAAGCTCCATCCACTATCAGCTGTATTTCCTAAAGTGCCAACTATCACATTGGACCTCAATATAATATCTTAAAGGTCAGTTAAACTCTTCCTGACTTGAAGCTGAAACACTTTTTTCGTGGCAGGAATAGAAGCTTTTCTTATCTTAGTGAATCAGGAGGACTGAGTACTTTGTTATCATACCTGGGATCATTAGAACATACATGTACTCTTGCCCTGATCACCAAACAATGATTTGTTACAACGTTTTCTACATCTGTTCTCGTAAAAATAAAAAACTCCAACGCATTTGTGATGTCTTTTCAGGTGCTGTATGGAAAAGAAAGTCATTTATTTGTATTTTGTATTTCTGATGGCAGCTAACAATGCCATACAATGATCACTAGTAAGAGGGGATTGCTGCTTGCCACCACTAGTTTATTTAATTAAATGTTTTATTACTTGCAAAATAAGCAAACACTGTGTCTCTATTAAATCATGTCTTATGTCTTTCATCCTGTTGCCGCCAAGTACAAACGTAAGGTAAAATAATAACACGGTTTACTACCTTTTAGAATACATCAAAAAAGTATGTAGTTTTCTTTTAAGATTAACATGTCTGTGTTAAATGTTGATGAACTGCCATTTTAATAAAATGTAGACCTATATGTACATTTAGAAGATGATCATGTTGTATTTTCATACACTTGTTTGCCATCAAACCTTTTTTTAGTGTATTAATTTCACTTCGATAGTGATTGAATCATGTTTTAGGGGAAGTCTGCTTGACCTTCATTATTGACAGTGTTGACATTCAACAACCATATATGAGTACTGCCTTAATGTTCAATACTTGAATTAAACCGACTAGTTTTTAGGAAAGATATTGTGTCTGTGAGTGTGTTATTGGCATGAGTAAACGTTGTGTTGCTTCAGCTCTAAGGATTGTTTTAGCCTCTTTCAGCTTGTGTTTTGGTTTTAAGACCAAAAACGTTAAAGTATTATTTTTAAGTAAATTTTGAAAGATTCATTCACAATCTATCATTTAATAATACTGTGGTTAGTATGGATAATCCACAGACCTCAATGTAATCAGTTTATATGGTTATTTTTACAGTGACACTAAGAATAAAAAAAACAATAAATGACAGAAACTGAAAACAATGTAAAAGACACAAACGATCTAATAGTCTAGCAGGAAGGGCCCTCAGATTTTGAGATACCCCTACCCGAGGTAGAACAAAACACAACAATGATTTTTCTTATCTTTAGGGTCTCCCATTAATGAAATTGATTGTTGTCAAATTTTATTTTGGGGGAAAAAATGTTTTTTTGGTTGTTCTTTAGAACTACCCCAATCCCTGAAAAAGAGCCAAATTAGACGCGTTATGGGAAAGGTGACCAAAAAGCCCATAACTTGAGAATGAACACTCTTTTCCTCTTCAGATTTGCTGAGGTACTGTATGAACCAGGTGGCTGTCCTACATCACCAAATAGTCAGACAATTATTTAACTAAAAAAAAAAAATAGTGGCTTTTTGGTCACCTTTCCCATATTCGGCCTGGTCTAATTTGGCTCTTTTTCATCATCATAATATAGCTAGCTTGTACTTGATTTTACTGGGTTTACCAGAACATTCGATTTGAGAAGAAAAAAAAAGTATTGCGTTAAACTGGTTAGTAGCTGTGCAGCTAGTATATTTCTTTACCCTTATACTTTGGTTTCAAACAGTTTTTTCATTTTTTTATGCAGTAGTGAAATGAACCATAGATTATATGGCAGCAATGACACGTGCATGACCTTACTTTTACCTTTATTTTAACTTATTTAATCATTGACATCCTGGTAAAGACAGACAGCTGACTCTTAGTATTCTCAAGGTTAATAAATAAAATATATACCTGAATGTGTAACTATGCTATAGATAATTACATATACTGTATATATGTACGTTTTTCTGCTTTCGAGACAGAGAGCCGCATGAAATGCTGTTAGTGCTATCATTCAGAATGACTTTGACTGTAGCAATATATTATGTAAGTAGTTGAAAGTATAATAATTATGTTAGCAAATAATAGCCATCTGCATATTACCTCACAGACTAATGGATAGCTGTGTGGAGCCTGACACAGCAGCACAGTGTTTACTGCTAAAGCTGCTCAGGTTAACTGAATCATCACATATCAAATAACGGTGAACTTTTATTTGGAAGACTTTACATTTATTTTTACAAATAGATATATAACCTTATAGTCTAGCAGCAAGTCCTCAAAAAAGGCTTTAGTTTTCGAGATACCCCTAGCCGAGGTAGAACAAATGACAACAATGATTTTTCTTATCTTTAGGGTTTTTTTTGGTTGTTCTTTAGAACTACCCCAATCCCTGAAAAAGAGCCAAATTAGACCAGGCCGAATATGGGAAAGGTGACCAATTGTCTGACTACAGTATTTGGTGATGTAGGACAGCCACCTGGTTCATACCTCAGCAAATCTGAAGAGGAAAAGAGTGTTCATTCTCAAGTTATGGGCTTTTTGGTCACCTTTCCCATATCGGGTCTAATTTGGCTCTTTTTCAGGGATTGGGGTAGTTCTAAAGAACAACCAAAAAAACATTTTTTCCGCCAAAATAAAATTTGACAACAATCAATTTCATTAATGAGAGACCCTAAAGATAAGAAAAATCATTGTTGTCATTTGTTCTACCTCGGGTAGGGGTATCTCAAAAACTAAAGCCTTTTTTGAGGACTTGCTGCTAGACTATAAGGTTATATATCTATTTGTAAAAATATAAAATATATTGCCATTATTTTCAAGATTTTAAATAAATGTAAAGTCTTCCAAATAAAAGTTCACCGTTACTTGATATGTGATGATTCAGTTAACCTGAGCAGCTTTAGCAGTAAACACTGTGCTGCTGTGTCAGGCTCCACACAGCTATCCATTAGTCCGTGATGGCTATTATTTGCAGATGGCTATTAGATGCAGATGGCTATGATTTGCTAACATAATTATTATACTTTCAACTACTTACATAATATATTGCTACAGTCAAAGTCATTCTGAATGATAGCACTAACAGCATTTCATGCGGCTCTCTGTCTCGAAAGCAGAAAAACGTACATATATACAGTATATGTAATTATCTATAGCATAGTTACACATTCAGGTATATATTTTATTTATTAACCTTGAGAATACTAAGAGTCAGCTGTCTGTCTTTACCAGGATGTCAATGATTAAATAAGTTAAAATAAAGGTAAAAGTAAGGTCATGCACGTGTCATTGCTGCCATATAATCTATGGTTCATTTCACTACTGCATAAAAAAATGAAAAAACGGTTTGAACCCAAAGTATAAGGGTAAAGAAATATACTAGCTGCACAGCTACTAACCAGTTTAACGCAATACATTTTTTTTCTTCTCAAATCGAATGTTCTGGTAAACCCAGTAAAATCAAGTACAAGCTAGCTATATTATGATGATGAAAAAGAGCCAAATTAGACCAGGCCGAATATGGGAAAGGTGACCAAAAAGCCACTATTTTTTTTTTTTTAGTTAAATAATTGTCTGACTATTTGGTGATGTAGGACAGCCACCTGGTTCATACAGTACCTCAGCAAATCTGAAGAGGAAAAGAGTGATCATTCTCAAGTTATGGGCTTTTTGGTCACCTTTCCCATAACGGGTCTAATTTGGCTCTTTTTCAGGGATTGGGGTAGTTCTAAAGAACAACCAAAAAAACATTTTTTCCCCCAAAATAAAATTTGACAACAATCAATTTCATTAATGGGAGACCCTAAAGATAAGAAAAATCATTGTTGTCATTTGTTCTACCTCGAGTAGGGGTATCTCAAAAACTAAAGCCTTTTTTGAGGACTTGCTGCTAGACTATAAGGTTATATATCTATTTGTAAAAATATAAAAGATATTGCCATTATTTTCAAGATTTTAAATAAATGTAAAGTCTTCCAAATAAAAGTTCACCGTTACTTGATATGTGATGATTCAGTTAACCTGAGCAGCTTTAGCAGTAAACACTGTGCTGCTGTGTCAGGCTCCACACAGCTATCCATTAGTCCGTGATGGCTATTATTTGCAGATGGCTATTAGATGCAGATGGCTATTATTTGCTAACATAATTATTATACTTTCAACTACTTACATAATATATTGCTACAGTCAAAGTCATTCTGAATGATAGCACTAACAGCATTTCATGCGTCTCTGTCTCGAAAGCAGAAAAACGTACATATATACAGTATATGTAATTATCTATAGCATAGTTACACATTCAGGTATATCTTTTATTTATTAACCTTGAGAATACTAAGAGTCAGCTGTCTGTCTTTACCAGGATGTCAATGATTAAATAAGTTAAAATAAAGGTAAAAGTAAGGTCATGCACGTGTCATTGCTGCCATATAATCTATGGTTCATTTCACTACTGCATAAAAAAATGAAAAAACGGTTTGAACCCAAAGTATAAGGGTAAAGAAATATACTAGCTGCACAGCTACTAACCAGTTTAACGCAATACATTTTTTTTCTTCTCAAATCGAATGTTCTGGTAAACCCAGTAAAATCAAGTACAAGCTAGCTATATTATGATGATTTGTAATCATTACTTTGTCAGAAACCATTTGCAAAAATATTCATTATAGCATTATGAGGTGATTTAGTGATAGTATATCGTTTTCAAACATCACTATCATGCTACCAAAGCCACAGGGGAAACACAGAAGTCATTCTGGATTACAGCATTGCCCTCAGACAGGAATTAAATTACAAAACTTTTGTAAGATTTATTTGTTTTTAAGAAATCTGACTTTGGTAAGAGAAAGAAGGATTTGCTTCAGAACGACACTGATATAGTGATTTAACCTATAACCTGCTGAGTCATCAGGAGTTCCATGTGTTTAACAAGCATGTCATTTTAAAATGCTTACTGAAGTGAGTTCACTATGCTCACTGTCACCAACCACACCAAACTCACACACATCACCAACACCGCTGCCAGTATAATTGGACTCCCAACGCCCAACCTCACAGTGCTTAACAACAGAGCCATCTCACGCACCGCAACCACAACAGAAATTATCACACACCCACTCTATCAGTATCTCGCCCCACTGCCATCCGGGCGTAGGTACAGAAAATGTGCTTACTGAAACGCCATGTGTCACTATCTGTTGTTGTCTGAGTTATTGTTGTTGTTTGTATATTGTGTACATGTACAGTGCTGTGAAAATGAATTTCCTAATCTAAGAAATATCTATGAGTTGACTTTGGCTGAACAGAAAGCCCTTGTGAAGGACCAGGGTACGCAAAAATCAGGAATGCAGGTTGAAGTGGACAAAAACAAGGATTTTATTTACCCAATATATGTAGTTTTAAGATGGGTAACAAAATCAATTAGGATTAAACAAAAAGGTGTATCATTAATGATATACACCGACACAATCTAGCATTAATGGATAAACAAAACGTCACAAAAATGGGTGACATCCTAGGTGTTTCTCAATCGCGAGTACGCTTGCTTGGTAGCACATGTCTGCCGAGCATCTTGCTTCAGAAGCGAGTCAAGAATACTTCCTGGCATTCGGAAAACGAAGTGTGTAACACGCTAGCAAGTGTGCAGGTGTGCGTCATATGAGAGGCCCCGCCTTACATCTTCCGCCACAGATTTGGGGAAATTGGTCCGTGCGCAAAGCATTGTGGGGATTTTAAGACCGCGGAGTCTACTCATGTGCAGCCTCGATATTTCTCCAAACGGAGTACGCCGGGCTCGGTAGATTTCCAAGTATACTGGAGATTGGAACAGTACTTCGGCGGCACTCGATGCGTAGTATGCTTGAAATAGTGGCTCTGAAGCAGCTTTACTCGCGATTGAGAAACACCCCCTGTGTGCTCTTCTGCCCAAGAGCAACTCACATACCCCCCCTTCTTCTTCTTTTCTTTAATGATACCCCCCCTTCATCTCCACACTGCAGGAATGTATAGCACTACTGGCCAGTCCATTGTTGCGTGCAGGGGGAAAAGGCCCTAAAAAGGGGTGGCTTAAATTGACTGGCCTCTTTAAACACCCCTCAGGGTTTGAGAGGAATGGCGTAGTCCAATTAGCTGACACATCTATAAAAGCAGGTGTTTTCCATCAGCTCAGCCTTTTGCCAGGAGCAAGGTGAGCTGCAAGACACTGACTATAGGATTACACACAACACAATTAACAATAGATATTTTAAACAAGATTGCGTGCACTCAATCTAGCAAAATAAAGCTGTTTCAAATAAATGTATGTCTGATGTAAAACAAAAAGCATAACCTTTAGCATGTGTGTTTGTTTGTGAGGCTTGTAGCCCTCACAGCCCTCTACTGTGAAACACTGAGAAGATTCAGCTTCACCGAATACAATGGATGGTTAAATTGGTAATATGGTGAACACACGTTGCTCTAGGAGACACACATGTGAGTATAATGTGTGTTAATGTGTGTGGTTTCGACAATAATCTGAACATTTTAATACAGTTAAAGGTGGGGTAGGTAAGTTTGAGAAACCGGCTCGAGATACACTTTTTGTTATATATATATATAAGTGCTTTGACAAAAAATTCTGTCATCTGTGGAAGCCGTAGTACTGTAAAAAGCATGACCAATCATTTTAGCCGCCCGGCTAAAATAACTGGATGGCCTACCTGCCTGTCAGCCTTCCATCTGTGCACAAACTTATCTCGTGCCCTCATTGGTCATGTGCGCGTTCGTGTGTGTTGGAGGAGGGGCTCTGTAAGGAACTGGCAGATTTTTTCCTGCTGTGTATTTTCAAATTCTAGCGATCTCGAGCTGGTTTCTCCAAAATTACCTACCCCACCTTTAATGTTAACTAAATGGGGAACTTTTGTGTCAATGATGCCCTCTACTGTTCAAGACCGTGAACAGCAGAAACAAGCAGGTATTTAATTAAATAAAAAACCAAGGCAAGTACAAAAGTTAATGATAAAGAAAATGTAAAAAGAAAATGAACCCCATTATTGAAATAAGTTTAAATAAATATATAAACATTAATATGAAATAAACTTTAAAGAAAAAGAACATTTAGATTACATCAAAATAAATAAATACTTAATATATGCACAACACATCTGAAATACATTAAAATCCCTGTAATTTGTAATAAAGATTCCAATAAAATATAGGAAACTTGTACAATATATTTGGATTAAAATAGAAGTTCACTGTTTCTACAATGTGCAATATCCATTCATTAAAGTGAAAGCTTCAAGGTTTTTCTGCAATGATACTCAAATTAGTACAGATTAGGGTAAATAAAAAAATTAAAATGAATGAAAATAATTCTGAGGTTTAAAAAATAAAAAAGACTCTCCAATGAAGTATTTCCCAGCATTCTTTATTCATTCAAAATGTTTAAAAATATAATTTCACATAGGCACTGAAATAAATATTATACATTTTGAAAGTCAGTGCCAGTGCTTTGCCATACAAATGATGTCTAAGGAAAACACAATCACGGGATAAAACAATCATGAGATCATTCAGAAAAAAGATCATGCAGTTTATGATAACTAGAGGTTTGAAGTTCAGAAAATAAAAACACACACTCACAAAAAGGCAAAAATAAAGTCACTTTTTTCAGCACCTGATTTCCAGCTCTGCAGCAGATTCATAATTTATTCCAAACACTAAATTGTATTACATTTAGAAAACAAAACATACTGGCCTTGTGGTGTAACAGCAAAGATGAAATCGGTCTGAGTTTGATCATTTTTTCTGAGGGTTATTGCCCCGAAACGTATTGTAACAGTTAGTGGGTATACAGTAGAAACACTCAAAGTTAATAAGGCAAATAAAGTATACACATGATTGTAAAATGTTAAAAAAAAACGAACACTTAACATAAAAAATAAATGTGATTAAGGTAACACTTTAACTGGCCTTATTTAAAAAAACAACTTTTTAAATAGACAATGAGGATTTGTCACACCCCCAGCTTTTATGACAGACCTTATTATTAAACGGTAGCAGGAGTCTGATAACCACTCGGGTGATAGCAGCCTGCCTTATCAGCCGCAGTGGAAGTGCTACCGTCACTGGATTGTCAGCAAAATGTGTGTTTGTCTTTATCGTCCAACGCAAGTGGTTGTTAAAAGGGCATTTCATCAAAATCAAAACCATTTTACATAGTTTTACTGGCTCAGGTTGATTTTTTTTTTTTAAATAAACACTGTTTGCTTAAATTATTCATTTTAAAATGCAGTGAGCTCCAAAAACTAAACTCCCAATCACCTCTATTAGTAGTATTTTTGTTGTTATTTAGATGAGCTTCCACTATATAAATACAGCATTTGCCATTGTAACGATTTGTTCAACATTTTTCAAATCACACCGAAATAAATAAAATAAAAAGTCCACAAAAAAGAAAAATAACACACAAGGCTAACATAAAGTTCCCAAATGTTCTTAGATATTAATTGATTGTTGAACTTTAACAAAATATTAAAATACTTGAGGTGGTGACACAATATTTCTTCCAGAGACAGTTCACAGTGTTCATACGTTGAATCTCCAGTTTTTCAGGATTTTTGTTCTGCGCTTTCCACCTTTCATCACAAAATGTCATACAATCGTATAGGAGCTGATAGATGTAACAAAATCAGATGATCATTGCTCACACAGGCTATTATGTTTGATTAAAAAAAATCAATATAGTTGTTTTTTTGAATATTTCTGTACAAAGAAACTAAGCATGAGATAACATGATCAATTAAAAACACCAAACCGTAGTATTTTTTCTATTAGGATTCTTATGATTCCTGCTTCATGCATTAATATTATGGTTATGGTGGTTACAAGAATTATAGCTTTACAGTAGCTTAGTTAATATCTACTGTATGAGACAGTAGATTACACACTGGCCTTTAACAACAGGTCAGTGAAATCTACTAGCTACAGTCAGACCATCAGTTTCACCTCAGCAGCTTATAGTCAAGAGTTCCTGGTAGTCAGTGGTATACCTTTAGCTATCACATTTTAACCAGCAGCTAAGTGTTAAGAAGTATTTCATGAATTTTAAAAGATCTAACTGTTTGCTGACAGCAACTGATTGCCTTATGACATTATTTGATCAGTTCCACTTAGCTGCTGCTAGTCCGGGGGCAGGACCGGCTGTGCCTGAACTGCATGATGTGAACAGCCGTCTGATGCCACCAGTAAAACATCAACACCACCAGCACGTGCCACACCTGGTGGCTGGCACCAAGGTAGTTCAGCTGGCCTGGGAGAGAAAGGGCGAAAGAAATGCTTTGAATAACGCACATATTTATTTTTGTTCATTTTCATACATTATTTACAATCTACGAGAATGAAAATATACTTCAGGAGGAATAGAAGACCTATATATGTTATACATCAGCCTATGTTGGTATCTTATATTCACAGCTCTCTGTCCACTGGGACACTTGAATAGAAGAGTGCCATCGTTAGTGTCATTAGTAACACCTGTGCTTTTGCTGCTATGACAGAGAGTATAGCAGCTAACCTGCGTTTACTCGTTAAGTGGTAATTAAGTAAATATGTTTCAGCTGTGGGATTTTCCAAGTCCACTAGAAAGAATTGAACAATAATACTGAATACATGCTGTGTTTTTTTTAATCATTTCTGGTGTAAATTCATTAGTTACATCACAAAAATACATTTCTTATCAGTGTTTTATTTTTTTACATCTTTATTTAATTCATTGAGATTCAGAATCTCTATTACAAGAGAGTCCTGGCCAAGACAGTAGCATCAACACGTTTCAAATAGGGCAAGTAAGAAAAAACAGCTGTAAAAATAAAACGGCTCTGCTTTCTTATTAACAGAGATATAGTCATTTCAGTTACAGCATTTTTCATGTTGTGCCTTGACCAAATGTATCACTCGGTTAAGAGACAGAGGAGGAGGACTCACCGGGGAAATAGCGCTCAGGGATCTTGGTGACGTAGAACAGGAAGGCAGTTCCAGCTATGAGGTACATCACTAGGATGCGAGGCAGGAACAACTGCACATACAACAAAATCCTGAGTAAAACTTGTTTATTATAAAATGAATACACTAGCTTTGCTTGTTTTCTAATCTTATGGCATTGCCTTACCTGTACAACATCAGTGGATAATCCACCATTGAGCCCGACCCAGTGACAGGAGGGAACAACACTGATGCCGGCCACGCAGCAGAAGATAGCCATTCGTATCCGTTTCCAGTCGTTGCTGAGGTAACGAGGATGGACCTGAGCGCAGAAGACGGCCAGGATCAGCGACAGCACCGTCAGCAGGTACAACTGTCGCCAAAACTGCAAAATAGGAGAGTAACCGATTACATAGAGTCTAATTAGAGTTGCTTTAAGCACACAAATACATGCAAATGAACTTAGATTCACTAAAAACATAATAGCACATCGACTTAAATTGTACATATACTAAGAATCCAAAAATAAACTTTAAATGAATACACACACTTGTAAGTACATATTGAAAATAGTTCAAATGAATGAAATGATAAAAATGTACTTACAGCGTTACAGTAGAAAGCGTAGAAGATCCCAGGCACGTAACAGCCCAAGATGCCGACAGAGATTCCTGCGTAGTCCAACGACAGCCAGCGGCGGCAGGTCTTCTCTGATCGGTGGCATGAGAACAGGTGATACCCCACAGAACATAACATGCACACCTGCAGTGAAAAAAAGGAAGGCTGTTGTGTTAAGGACTGACAAAAAGGACATTTAAAGACATAACCTAAGACGGTGACCATTTTTCAAATGTTTTAGACAAAAAGGTGAATCTTTAAAATGGTTAGCACTTGGCAGAATAATTGATAATGAAAAACCTTCAGCCCATGATTAGATATTCTTTTGATACAAATAAATATTTGGTTTATTTAATATAAGTCAAAAAAATCCTTCTGGGACTCTTTTACATTAATCCACCTCAAGAAATAAGGACTTCGACAAAACAATCAAAATACTCACAGCTTGCTCTCGAATAGACAAATAAAGAGGTTTAAAAAGGGGGAGGCAGGACACATATTATACTAACGGTACATGGGAATTACCAACTTGTGCAACATGAACATGTTTCTAAACACGTTAACAACTGTGAAACACCTACAACATAAACCTCAAACACAGCCACAGAAACACAGTCACTACATTGCTATTCCTATTGTTCTCATAGTGCCTACTGCTCTTTTTAATATGGTAACAGCTAACCCTACACAGTTTACAGACCTGGGTGGGTTGAGGTCAACTGATTGCACCTGTGGCAGGAAACGTGAACCTACATGAATAAGTTATACATACTTCATTTAAATACAGTACAACAACTCTAAAGTAAGACCTGTAAACAGCTTTAAAAATCAAAAGGTTGATAATGTATGTTAAAGTAGCTACATTACATGCACACCTTCTTTTTAGGTTAGCATAGATGCTGAAAGAACTAAGGGAAGATTATTTTTAAAAAGCTGGAACACACTGTATGACTGTAAAGAACACAACATCTTCGCATTCAATTCATGTCTCAATTAAAAAATACATTAAACCACAATATTGGATATTCTCAAGAATATTCCAGCTTTTGTCACTCTGTCAGCCATTTTTTTTACCTGGAAGCAGAAGAGTCCAATAGCGTAGATGACGTAGTCCTCTCTGTTCACTCCAGAGGCTGGCAGTACTGAGGTGAGGTCGTTGAACGCCAGGTAGAAAAAAAGCAAGAAACCCAGAAGATGGCTCCAAATATTCACAGTCTCATTGGACAGCATAAAAATACTGCAGAGAAAATGTAGAAACAAAGATACATGTGTAAACAAGGCATGCACCACTGAGTTCCCAAACCTTTAGAAACGTCCAACATGGCTCCTACCTCCTCAGGCAGAGTTTGGAGGGCAGATGGGCCCTGTAGCCGTCTGTGATGAAGGGGTTTTCTCTGAGGAAGAGGGGGATCTGTTCGTAGGTGTACAGCCTTATCCTCTGGGTTATCAGCACCGGCCAGTGCTGGTAGCTGCCCAGCTCGATGAAGTTGGCAGTCTTCAGCAGCTTCTGGGGCATCTTCAGCAGCATCCTTACTGTCCTCAGCAGCTCCTCAGATACAAGCCGGGGAGGTGAAGGCTGAGTCTGGGGAGAGGAATGGAGAAAACACCGGTTAGTAATTAGCAATAGCACTAGCAATAACTGGTTTTCAAATGACTGAATAAAGATGTATGGGCAGAAAACTGGGTTAACAGCTAGGCCTACTGTTTGTGTAATAACTCCCAGTGTTTATTAAGAGCATTTACAATTATTATTACTAGGTACATATGACTGTTAAGCAAGCTAAAGCTAACGTTGGTTAATATGTAAACTGACACCTTCATCTTCTGAAAGCATGTCTTCGTAACCACCTTGTACTAAACCCTCAGCATGTCGACTGTTCAACACAGACATTATTTAATGTTTCACTTCGACGTAAAGCTTTTAAAACCGGCAACAATAACATATTTAAACTGTGTGTGATACCGTTTTGTTATTGTAAAAGCCATGATGCTAGCAGGCTACGTTTCGGGCTTGCTAACGTCAATGCTAACCTTGACAGCCTTATTTTAGCCAGCCAAACTGGTTGAAATAGGGTCACAACGCTCACCATAAACCGGTGTCCGACCGTCGATATCCTTTTCAGGAAACTCAGCCATATCTGGACTATTAATATAACATTGCTTTAAAAAATAATTACATTTTAGCCATCCTTAGCTACATAACACCAGCACACATTTCCTCTTCTGTTTGATAGTAAACGACATAACGGTGCGGTGGGATGCGTTACTGCCACCAACTGGTAAGGGTTGAGGATGGTACCTGGAGCCATTTATTCTCCTGAGCTTTTCTGTCAAAAATATATTTAAAATGATGTATCAAATACATTTCTCAAAAGCTTTTAGTTAAGTCGAAATTCATATCCTGCAGTATGCTTATTGCTGTGGTTTCAGAAGATGTCTTAACCAAGATATAAAATGAAAATCACACCCCTACATTTGGTAACAGTTTAATAACACTAGACCAGGCTTGTGGCTACACCCTTAAATACATCTCATGTGTTTTGGCTTTGGTGGTGGGATTAACTGGTCACAAACTTAACCCGCAGTTGTTTGAATGAAGAAACACTATCTCTGTTTTGTTTTCTACTAAGGTCAAATCACTGGTGATCCCTTCTTTCTGCCATCAGTCCTTTCAGCCCAATAGAATCGAGACCAGTTTTCCATCTGGAGAGTTCTCTGCCTGCCAGTGCCAAAGATGAGTGATATAACATATATAATATAAGTATAACATTCACAACAACAACAAACAGACAAATATATCAAATCTAAACAAATTCACATCATCATTCTCATACTTTTTAACAAATCAAGAGAAAATTCAATATTTCAGGTATGACAGCATCTCCTACATTTCATTTTGCTCACATTTGTTCAGTTTAAAACTAGTTTCACATTTATTCTGTGGTCCCTCTTTCCCCTTTTCCCTCTTTAGTTGTTTAAATGTTACATTTTGTGTTTATTTGAATACAGAAAAAAGAGAGCAATGATTGGAGGGCTGTTGTAATAGGATTCTTTGTTTCATAGTCCAGCTGCTACACCCAAAATTCAAGCACAGATCCAATAATCCAATACGGCCTTTCATGATACAAATATCCAAGGCGGATCGCTGGCTAGCAGAAGATTAAACAGAATGGATGCAATTTGCTGACACAATGACTGTGGTATGTTGTTATTATTGGATCTGTTTACTGTCATGACTACATCCTCCTTAAAGTTGAAATTGAATGTACTGGGAAGCCGCAGGCATTTTATCCCTGCAAACACAATGAACTGCTAATGACATCACCACACAACAAAATAACTCCCGGATGTGTTGAACAAGATTGATGACATACAGAAAATATATTGCTTTCGACATTACTTAATGACACAGTGAAATATAATGGCAACATTATCAAGTGTGCTTTTGGTGACATGGCAGTGTAAAAGAAACATCATGAGGAGAATCATAAGAACAGTTTTTTCTCCTAAGAGTAGATTTTATTTCCTTTGGACCAGAACATTTCAAGGCAGCAAATCCTTCTGACACACCAAGGGCGTTCTTTATTGTTGGAGTTGTGTAAGCATATCGACTTTTGTTTTTCACATGCAATCGATTTGAAGGAAATTGATGCTCTTCTTTTTTTCACGAGCAGATTAATTACATCATAATTGGGAGTTACCAATGAGTCAACAAATGTCCTGTAATAAGTAATTGCTGTAATGTTCATTTTCAGAGGAACACATGTTGATTAAAACATAGCCCCCTTAGAAAACACTCTTTAAACTACTACCAAGAAGGGTTTAATTGGTTTATCGGACAGGAATTGGCTCGCACCTCTTCTTTTTTTGATACAGTGATATTTATGGCTCAAATATTTTCTGTATTTAAAGTGGACCTATCATGCTATATTTGAAAGATATATTGTAGGGCCATACCTATATAAAACATGTCTGTGAAGTTTTTTTTCAAAATACCAAACGGATCACCCATTGTAGCCATGCCTCTTACTGCTCAAACCCCTCTTTTGAAGCCCTGTTAGAGAAACGCAAATTTTGGGTGCTTAGCTTGAAAAAAAAAGAAAGAAGAGGAGGCGGAGCTAATGCCTGATCAGAATTCTACCGGAGATAAAGTTAAATTTGGTTGTGATAAAATGCCATCCTGTTTAAACCACGTCAAGGATTATTTCTGAAATAGTATGGAGCTCAAATGCCTTTTCTCTTGCTGGTTTATCACAAGGTGAGTTCCTTTTTTTATTTCCTGCTTTTTAAACACATGTGCTCTTCAGTACAGGTTAGCTCTGAGTGTTAGCGAGGCTTGCTAATGTAAACAAAGACGAGATTACGTCCAAAACACGTCAGGCATTGTTTCTGATAGCAACTTTCTGTGGGTCCATGACGTCACAGCGGATGGACACGTCACAGCGGATGGAAATCTGGATCAGCTCAGTTGTAGCCCCGTTTTTAGAGATTTGGGTACGGAGGAAAAGAGAGAGGGTTGTATTTTCTAACGCTGCGAGAGTTCCCCGACGCACCGGGGACACATATTTATGTATAAAAGACATCACAAAGTGCAGTTTGCATGATAGGTCCCCTTTAAGTTATTGTAACCCTCACTCTGTCATTCTATCCTTTTATCACTATTTATGCAGCTGCTCTGGCCTTCAAAATAAAAGGATAGGGAAGCAACTGAATGTTAGGAAGATTTATTTCTGCACAGTCTTACTTTATTATTTAATCGTATTTTTAATATAACATACAATACTTTTTAATAATTAATATTCACTTCATATTGCTTTGCTTTATAAAGTTATTATTTAGATATGTGTATTTGTGCATATAAACCGGAAAATGTACTCTTCGCTGTGCCGAGTGATAAATATATACGTGTTATTTTATTTGAGCAATTATATTACTACCAGACATTTTAGCATTATGATTTTCTGTATATCTTTATTAAAATTAATGCTATATTTCTATTATCCCTCTGCAAACTATTTTATTACAGAAGTTGTTTTAATTTGCTTGTGAAACATTTTTTTAGGGTCCGTACTTGATCAAATTTACTTCTAGATAATTCTGACACATTTTCAGCTCCGGACATGAATTTAAAGAGTCCCTGTAAGTAAAAAATATATATAAATTAAAATAAATATAAGCATATCAAAGCTAGCCTACATAAAAAACACATGAAAATTCTATAAAAGGAAATAAAAACGTTAAAAATAACTTGTAATTAAACATTAAGTTATAGTATAGAATATTCTTAAAGTATAACAAAACGGTTGATTAGTACAGTAGTAGACTGGTAGCAGACTAGTATTTTGCTACAATCATGTCTCCCGTTTAATGTGAAAAACCCTGGAGGAAGTCCCACTCTGTGTTGTTGCTGCTGGTTGGAGGGCTGTGTGCAGCAGCTGTGTGCCCTGCCCAGTTAATTCCATTATCAGCCTGCTGTCAGAGAACACGCATCCTTTTCACTTCCACTCAGCAGGGACTTCAACATGTGAACCGCCGGGCTGATGCCGAGCAGATGATGACAGACTCAAAGCAGCTGATTTAGGGATTATTGAAACATTTTTTATCAAACACCCTGCTGATATGAGACACATGGATTATGGATCTGATATGGATATGTTCCCAGATCCTACTTTTTCTAAGTGTTTGTGTGAATTCGTCACTGCCTGATGGTGACGATGCTTCTTGTGATGGAGCGTTTGATATTTATTTTGTTTTAGACAGGTGAGTACACACAGATTGGATCAGTTGTCTGCATGCATGTGTATGCTTAAAAGAAGCCAACAGGTAACCAATATATAAATAAAAGGTAATCCTTGTGTCAGAGCACTCTGGACTCAGTCCTCTCCATGTATGGCTCTGTTTAGTTCAGTGTCCCTATGCCGATTCACTGGAAGTTAGACAGAGTTTATTTTTATCTTTTTCTGCTCTGACCATCAGGGTTTGATGTGTAGACTTGAAGAAAGTCCTCTTGTTTCCTCCAGAGTTCTTCTCAGTGTATTATGTTGTCGTAAAGCAAAAACAAACGGAGTCCCTTGAATGCATTCAGCCACTGCATCATAACTTAATGTATGCCTCTTATACAGAAAATTCAAGCTATCGAAATGCATTTTAATTTAATTTATTGATGGACTCCCCTCTTTGTCTTCAGGGTTGGCTATGCTTTGATGTTGGGTATTTTGATACATGTGTATATGTAGGTGATTTTGATGTATGGCTCTGATGTTCCTGTTTCTGCAGGTCAGGCAGTGTGTTTGGACACTGGAATGAGATCTATGGATTTGTGGAGCAGCTCACCAACAGATTTGTCAGGTAAGTAAAGTGTTTTTTATCCCTCTCTTATCTCTACAGCACCTCTTCTCCTCCCACCCCATCCTCAGATTTTATGTTTTTTTTACTATAAATAGCCTCAGAAATATGGAATCATATAAAACTTTATATAGCACACTTCAAGACCAAGTAAAGTGTTGTAATGACATACTGCATTTGAACTACAGTCATATTTAAACTAATAAAAAACGATTTAAAGACTGAGAAGTTATTATAGGTCTTTAAACCATGATACAAACAGTGGTAGTGGGTAGAAAGTAGGGCATGTTTATTTTGGGCAGCATACATCATACAGGGCCACCAACTGCTCCAAACCCCTCTGAGTTAACAGGGCAGCGGATGTGTGTGTGTGATACTTTTAGGTTTAATAACTGGTTGCTAAATATGAGAACTAAACATCTGGCCAGATGTGAAAGTTAGTCTGACCTCAACAGACTGTTGTGTTTCCCTTCACTGCCTGAAGTATATGAAAACGAAGTAACTGACAACGTTAGGAGTTCTGTTTCGTACAATGTAAAGATCAAAGTGAAAAAAACACTGAGATTTTCCTGTGAACCTGAACTCACTTTTTTAATAAATGTCTTGTCATGTTTTGCCACATGGTATTATCTACCTTTTTTATGTTCTGTAGTGTAATGGGAAATATAGTATATTGTTATGTGCCTTGCTGTGTTTTGGTGCTACATTACAATACACTTTATTATGTCACATTAAAAACACATATACTGTCCAGTCATGGTCTGTTACAGTGTTGTTTCTATAAAAGTTTTCTACTGAAATGGGTTTTTCATTAGCTATGCCGATGTTTAGATATTTGTTTTGGGGTGTATTTTTTAGGCATAGTATGA